ATCCATGTTTGCATTAGAAGAGCTTTGAATATCAGCTCTACAACAGCAACAAAGTCAGCCTTTACAAGAGCAATCTTCATCTGATACTGCAGTGTAGCAGAAACATTGAACTTCATTTACAAAGGTATTCATTTTTCATAATTCATACCCTAATAGTTAATCACGACTGACTTACGCAGAGGGACCTGGACTTCCTTGTACAAATGCCAGGGTTGAAATGACTTTTTATAAAGAATGTGGAGCATCTGTCATCTTATTTGACTTGCAGGCTTGGAAGGTATTAGTCTTATCTAACTGTTAGATTTGACTTTCAGCTATGGGAGGTTAAAAAGCTCACCAGTTTTCAAGGCAAATTAGTGACTACTACACAGAAAAAGGGCAGAAGAAAGTTTATCTTGGAAATTGTTTGCAAGCCACTCAGTGCTAAATACACAGCAGTGAACCCATGGAATTCAGACTTGTTTATCCATATTAAATAATCTTTATCCTCATGGCCTGAATAGCAAGAAAGCAAAAGCAATTAATGAAACTAAGACAGAAAGAAGATGAAAAAATTAACTGTTGTTGTTATAGTTGACTCTCATTCCTAGATAGTGGATGTCAAAGCACCAACATCTGTTTATGTCCATGCCTTTTTTTATTTATTTATGTTTACCGTCTTGAATATCTGTCAAGTTGACTGAAGGTAACACTGCCCTTGCTCTGTCTCAATGGATATAAGAAGATATAAATGGATGTTTTTATCTCCCACCTCTCTGTAAATAGAGAAGTCTTCCTGAAACAAAGAAAAAAAGTCCTGAAAAAAGTCTTCTTGGGACCCTCAAAAGTGACTTAGAATGTGGATCTGACATTTTGAAAGCTGCGTCTTATAAAAAGCAGGCATCCCTGAACTCTGACCCTGGCATTCTAAGGAAAATCTTAACAGTCATTTATTAAAGAAGGGTTTTATTTCTAAACATAAATTGACACTCCTGTTCCAGGCTTTCCAAATTTGGAAAGTCAGCATAAGTGGTATGCATGCACTTTAAAACACCACACAACATGGAAGTATTTTGATTGTCTGTCCTTTTTAGATATCGCTCTGTTTCCCATTCTTCTCCTGCATTCTTAGAAGATACAACAGATTAAACCTAAATCACAACTACTCACCAGCTTCCTAGGATACTTATGCCTCTCTCAAGCATAAAATTCCTTTCATGAGATCTACTTGCTCCCCAAGTAGGACTAGGACAGGACTAGGATGACAAAACACACTCTACTCCACAGCAGCTTCTATGCAAAAGAGGTTTCAGCTGACATCGGGTTTTATTTCTTATAATTCCAATAATTATTGGAAATAACGAAGGCATAATAGGTATACTTTCACCAGCACAGCTTCGTTCCTTTCTATCATTCTTTCTAAAAACTGAGAGCACAAAAAGGAAAAAAGCTCACTATTTTTACAAAGATGAGTATATTTTGCCAAGCCTTTATTCACACCACTTGCTTATAAGGGTGTTTTCCTAAAGTTCCAGTGTTTAGCCTCAGCTAGAAAGGGAATGTAAGGTGCTATTAACATTTCTAAAGGCCATCTCATTTTCCAGACTACAACACGCTAAGAATTTATCTGTCAATAAATTTGGGTGCATGAGCAAGTTCTTCCCCTTTGTTGGGTTGCTGTGCACCACTAGAAATGTTTTGGTTTCCATGGAAGAGTGGAGCACATATTTCTTAAGACCATCTGGACACCACACTTCATGGTTTCACAAGCTCAGCCCAATCGTTGGACAGCGATGAAGCACCAATTCTCTGGTAGAACTCTAAGCCTTCCTCCAGCAGCACTGTTACAAGGTGGCAGGCACATGGATACATTGTGAATCATCCTTAATTGCATCCTCAAATCATCAACCATTTGGGTTTAGCAGAGGTAGGTGGGACCCAAGGGTCCCCTCTGGTCCACTGAAACACACACGGGCTTGGTGGGCACATCAGGATTTGCGTTGGGCAATGAATGGGAGCTGACTGTAAGCCTCTAAATGGAAAGCAAACACAAAACCAAACCAACAACATTTGGCACGTTGGTGTTTTTTTCACTTTGATGCAAACAAAAAGCAGAAGTCACAACATGCATATAAACTTGCTAGTGACAGAATAGCTCTGATTAAAATAACTCTTGCTCTTCAAATTACCCAGAAGGTTGAAGACATGCAGACATGAATTTGCTGCCAATGAGCGGCTAAAGACCTCATAGCCTGATTTTTAGAGTACCATCCATCAACGCTGTGTGCTTAGTGTAGGGAATGTAGGAAATAAGGCCATTTCTCCCTTTCCCCCAGGTAGCACGTCACCACTTCCCAGTAGCACAATCAGTAAGGTACACAACCCTAAGAGTAATAAAGGTGCTTCAGAACCCCAGAAGTACATAGAAACACTAATGAATCTGCTCAGGCAGACAGCCTCGGCTCACCACAGGTAACATCACTGCTCCATGTAAAGTGTGCTCCTTCACTGGAAGTGGCAAACCTCCCTTTTCTTCAAACAATGCTCCTTACCCGAGTGCACTCACAGTGAAGTTGCTAGGAAGGGTCAAGAATACATTCACATTTCTTAATTCTAGATCTGATTATTTCAACGCCTGCATTCATGCATCCATACAGTTCCAGGTATACCATGCTCAGACAAAACAAGCCAGACCTTGTAGACCTATTGGCAGTTTTCGAAGGGCTTAGCCAAGGTAGCAAACAATGCAAGAGATGCATTTTGGAGAACAGATTCAAAATAGTTTGACAACGGGGAAGGGTGAGGGGAGAAAAAGTAACGCTGGGAGAGTCTCCCACTGCACAGAATTAGGAATAATAGCAAGGAACTCTCCCACTCATTACAATAGCATGGTGAAACATTTCTATTCATGCAGCAACACAGATAACTCCTACCAGGAACTGAGAATGCAGCAAACTCAGCAAAAGGAAAAAAAAAGGTTTCTTTCACAGTCTAGATTAGCAATTCAATAAAATAACAAGGTACAGGCCACGTAAATATCAAACTTGCTTTTCTTTTTTTTGCTGGTGAGGACCTGAACTGAATGTTAGAGGTGTGAAGTTACACAAACAGAATTTCACAAAACAATGGGATCAAAAACCTCAGACTTACAAAAAAAACGATGCTTTCCTATCACCCAGATAACACAAACCCAAACAAGAGAAACTGCTAACAGCCGTAGAATGATTTCATTACAGCTACACTGGTTTGCTGGACAATGTGGAAAAAGTTCAAGCTATATCAAATATTATGACAAACTCATGTCATATTTTAGCCAGCAGATCCCAACCTGTTCCTAGCTGCAGCTCCTCTTACAGCTTGATTAACTCAGACAATTCTATATTTCTGGGTGACATAGTGAAATCAGAAACCTGACAACTCAGGGAACTGCTGTTCTGTGCTGAAGTACTGAAGTTCAGTTTCCAGAACTGAAATATAGTCCAGACAGCTATCTCAATAATTAGCGGTTTCATCCCAAAACCTCATTATTGATAAAATTCGATTATTGCTTTACTAACTCTGCTCTCAACAGCAGGGACAAGGTGATGATTTTTCTCTTCTAATCTTGTTTGATATGGCTGCAAGGGTGCAGACTCATATGTGACCCTGAATTGGGGCACACATCTCAACTTTATCAGTCTCAAACACAAAATACCAAAACCTTCACAGTGATCTGTCAGGCTGTGGGCTGCAGAACTCAGAAGATGTATGTTCAACCACCTCCTGCTGTGGACGCAATACTCTCTGGGAGAAAAGGAGGGCAGGCAGATGGTGGAGGTTACTGTTCAGACATATCCTAGCTGGATTGGCCATCTTATCAGAATCAGAACCTTGCAGCCAAACTGGACAACTTTTTCTGGTTACAACCTGTTGGATTTGAGGTAACATATTATTCAGCAACAATCACCCCACCTACCTTTACATGCCTCTCCCCCTCTTCCCCCCTAGAATGAGCTTCAATAAGATGTAAAACATACGCTGTTCTCCCCACCTATTCTATTTTTAGGAATCTCCTTTTATTCTCTCAGCTTCTATGCTTCTGCTTCTCCCTTAGCTCCACAGACGTTTCTTTCTTCTTCCCTGTCTCCTAAACCTCCCCATTTCCATCAGGGTTTCACCTAGAACAATTCACACCCCATCAGCACGAACCACAACACGGGCTTCCAACTCGCACCTAACACTCCAAGCAAAAGGCATTGTGAGCCTTCATAGCTGAGGTTTAGGGTTCACATCAGGAACCAGACAGATGTGGAAAGAGCAGCTCCCGACACATGCTTCAGGATGGCTGCAGATGCAGAAACAAAGCATGATGTCAACTGACACTCGCGCTGTAGTAGGTTCCATGGGATGAACGCGGCATGCCCAGAGGTGGGGCGGAAATCACAGCACGGCTCGCTCCGGGCAGAAAGGCGGCCGGCACCATTACCTTGCCGATGGCACCGAGACAATGAAGGCGAACGCTTAGCGAGGGCACACTGACCAAGTAGAGAGGGACGAACGCGATCGCAGGGGAGACGAGCGAAGCCCCACGGCCGCCCCAGAACCAACCTCCTCCCTGAGTGCCGCCGCACGGCGGGACTCGCCCCGTACCTCCGGCCGGGCCGGGCAGCGGGGGCAGCCGGGCCCGGGGTTGCCGCCGCCCAGCACAGCACAGCACAGCCCAGCCCAGCCCAGCCCAACCCAGCATAGCCCCGGGCGGTGACAGTGCGCTCGAGGCCCGCGGAGCGGCGAGGCCCTGCACCCCTCAGCCTCCTCCCCAGCTCTCCTCCCGGTCCCGAGGCCCCGCAGCCTCCCGGGAGGAAACCGGACCCACCTGAGCGGCGCCCGCCGGCCACCAGGCCCCACCGCAGCCCCTGCCCAGCCCGGCGGCCGCCCGCAGCTACCGGCTCCCGCAGGCCCCGCCCCGCGCCTGGCTCCCCCCAGCGGCCGGCGAGCGGCGCTGCCCCCTCCCGCGGCCCCCCGCGCCCGGCGGGGCCCCTCACCTGCCCGTCAACGCCGCGGCGAGCTCGGTCGCCTCCGCCTCTCCCTCCCACCCCGCCGTCCCCTCGCGGCCGAGCGGCGCCCCGCCTCCCCCAGTCGGCCTCCCTTGCCCTCCCCTCCGCGTCCGCCCGCCGGAAGTTTGTCCCCTCTCTCTCGCCGTAGCGGTGCCCGCCCCCGTCGCCCCTCCTGCACGCGCGGGAGCTGCGAACGGCGGCGGCGGCGGCGGCGGGAGGCGCGCGGCCCGGCCTGACCCAGGTACGGCGTCCTCAGCCGTTTCCGGCGGGGCCGCTCGCGGGGCGGCCGTTGGCGGGAGCGGGCAACGGGCTGTCCCCTCAGCGACCCCGGCCGGGTATCTGCACGAGTCAAAACGCGGGGAATGATATTGTCGCTTTTCACCATGCAGACCATTAGGCTGTCAGGGTGTTCGCTCCATCTCCGCGCCGGATAAAGCAATTTTTGCAAAGCAAATTATTCGGCTTATGAAACAGTTTAGCGTCCCTAGACGAGAGAATGCTCCACAAAAGCATATATATGCATTTCGAGTTCACTATTTGTATTTTTTTTTCGTGTTAGGGTGATACGAACCTTAAGTTACCTAGGTAGCATCATTTGTTGTGCTTGGTCAATCAGGCAGTGCAGGCCTGGCACAGGCTGCCCAGAGAAACCTTCTGAGAACACTACTGGTTACAATGACAATAATTCCGTGTAAATGATAATTAATAAAGAATGATCACGGTCACAAATGTAGTAAATGGTGATTCCTAGTTGTCCGATGGTAAACTGCTTTTACCATGCTCTATACAGAACTAAAATATTTGAACTTGAACTTTTAGCATTTGAAGATAATTTGAGAGTAAGGCATTTTTAGTGCTAATTTATGTGTCCAGCAGTGTCCTAGCACTGTCCTTTGGCACTTCTCTAGCCAATAGCTGATGATTATTATCTATCCCAGGGTGAACGTTTGAGATGCGTTAAGAGAGTGAGTAAGGAACCAGCATTCTGCTGAGGAGTGGAAGCCTTGCCTTCCCAAACTCCTGGCTCTGTGTTAAAGGAGATTTAGAATTCCATTTGCAGAATTAACTTCAGGACTCCTGCTTTACTGATCTTGAAATTGAAGTTCATAGAATCACAGAAAGGCCTGGGTTGAAAAGGACCACAACGATCATCCAGTTTCAACCCCCTGCTGTGTGCAGGGTCACCAATCACCAGACCAGGCTGACCACAGCCACATCCAGCCTGGCCTTGAATGCCTCCAGGGATGGGGCATCCACAGCCTCCTTGGGCAACCTGTTCCAGTGTGTCACCACCTTCTGTGTGAAAAACTGCCTCCTATTATCTAACCTAAATCTCCCCTGTCTCAGTTTAAAACCATTCCCCCTTGTCTTATCACTACCCACCTTTATAAACAGACATACCCCCTTCCTGTTTATATGCTCCCTTCAAGTACTGGAATGCCACAATGAGGTCTCCCCAGGGCCTTCTCTTCTCCAAGCCCAGTTCCCTCAACCTTTCTTCATAGGAGAGGTGCTCCAGCCCTCTGGAACATCTTGCTGTGAAAGCTGCTTGGGGACATAGAGCCTCACTGCATTTCAACAAATTGATGAAAAAAATCACATTGCCCTGTTAGAACGTTTGGTTTAAATAAGATCGCGGCTGAAGCAAACTGTTGGTGCAAGCAAGGCCTGGAACTAGCATCATCCATCTCATTCACACAAGCTGTAGAATAAATGATAACTTAAATACAGGCTATGGACATATGTTATCTGTCCCTTACTAGAATTTTCTAATAGCAAGATTCTATTGAAATCTCTCCATTAGATTAAAACCATATGATGTGATGCTGTTTTTAGCAGAATTCTGCACTTCCTCATTCTTGTTCAGATCGACACCCATACTTCAATCAGTTTCATTCAAGGTGTATCTCTGTATAGAATGTAGGCTGACAGTAGTGCATACCTTGTAAAAGCTTTAAAGACTTAATAGTGGTTTCATTTAAAGCAGTTTTCCTTCTGAATGCCACCCACCTGCTGTGTGTGTAGATTCTTGGCCTACTGCTCTCAGGGCAAATGCACACATTTCTTATATTGCCTTTTCCCTTCAAGGGCTTTATACTGATTAAGATCTGATTTAATCTGCATAGAGTGAAAATATACATATAGTATTCTTCAAACTTTGTTTCGCTCCACCACTCACCACAGATACTATTTTTTTATTTCTCTCCAAGTGTGAACACTTTGCTCAAAAAGGGCAGTAACTTTCTTAAACCGTGTGTGCATCTCCTAGTAATATTAACTTCTACATGTTCTCTTCTGAATCCAAATGTATTTACCATAAATTGCATTTAACTTCTGATTGAAACACTTTCAATTGTACAAGATCTGTGCAATTATACAGCTTCTGGACAGAAGGTAAATAATGATTGCCAACAAAAAGAGAATTCTAGCTACACCTGACATAATTATCAGTGTTTGTACTTGCCAAAGGTACAGCTGGTATCCCTTTTCTGAGATGTGTTTAGCGAGTCCTTAGTAATACTTCCTTATTTAGAGACTAGAAAAACAACTTCTTTCAAAAAATCTGAACATGAAGTACAGGAGCAAGAAGTAATACTAGCCAGGCTCCTACTGGCTATCACATATCACTGTCTGGAGGATTTTAAACCTTTTGTATCTGTTCTAATATCCCCAGCTGTCTCACTGACATACATTGCGCGTTGACTTCCTTTGTGCTGCGTACAGAAGACTTACAGACTGATGGGCTAAAACCACTTGCACTCAGTATTTGTGCAAATACAGTAAAAGATTGCCTCTGTGGACTTCTGTAGAAGTGTTGCTGTGGCTCCCTTGTGCTCCTGTCATGCAGGCACTCAACAGGACAACCATTTCTGTAGCAGCACAGCAGAGTGGTAGCACGGTTACCATCGGGTGCTTGTTGGGTACTGGCTTGGAAAAGGCTGCCATCTACTGAATTATTGGCACAACTTCTTCACGTTGTTGGAGGTTCTGTATGTTTTCCAGCTCTGCGTGGTTTGTGTGATGCCATCATAACTCAAGGCAGTCGATGATTACAGTCAGTAACCTAAAATGAAGATGGACAAGTCGGGTTATAGACAAGTACAACTTTAGAAATCTCCTTCTGCTTTTTATCAAAGTGTTAATGGATTTGGAAGGTAATGTAGGAAGACAGTGCTGGGGAATCTGAACAATTGAGGTGTTTTTTTTTTCTTACCTAAAATGGTACAATGCATTCATGTTCAACTAAAAGGAATAAAAATACATCATTTTTTCCTGCTTAATATTTAGAATAAAAACTCACAACATTTTTTTGTTGTTCTAGGCTCTGATCTTACACAAGAGCACAACAGTGCCTCTGCCTTTAGGATGCAGCTAGTCATTTCTGTCTATTTCTGTCTACTACACAGTAGGTTTTTAAGAAGAATTTTAACTGCTATGAAACAGCATCAGAAAACAAATTTCCACCTGGTCCTGCAGCAGTTTCACAGAAGTATGCACTAAAATATGATTGGTATTACTGTACTGTCCAATATGTTGCAGTACATTGCTATACTTAGCGTGCAGTGGACTTTTCTGATGTGTTTTCGTATGGAGAGTTGACTCTTATTTTCAATAATTGTATTTTCTTTTGTCTTTAGGGATGCCTGCAAGGCAAGGGAAGGACAGCGAAAGCCATGTCAGCTGCAGCAGTACCAGCACCAGCAGTTCAGCTGCTTGCTTTGGGCAGGTCAGTTCCCTTTGCCTGAGAAATAGAAGTTCCATTCTTGCACTACTAGAAATCTGCTCTGCATATTTTCTCATTTTGAAGTTGGATACAGTTAGGCTAGAGTCATTTCCACTACACTAACTATTCTGCACCTAAACTTACATTCTGTTTTCCTCTATGATGGCCATGGTGTGTGTATGCTCCCCTTTTCCTTATGTCTTTTATTACAGACTTGCTTCTAGTATCAGAAAAAGAAAGCCCTTCCTTTAAGCCTAAATACAACCACAGGTGAATGTGAGAGATTTGGCAGTGCTGGAACATGAAGATACAGTCGGTGAACTCCTATTCTGTCCACACATAACAGCATATAACAACACAAGCTTTTTAGTGCTTGAATCCTCTAACATGTAAATCCCCAAGAATGCTGTTAGGCCTTTCTAACCTTTGCAGATTGTAAATTGTATTTCTACTAAGTTATGCAGCATGAGTTACAATGCTGGGCTTCCTAATGATACCCGTGATGCTGGTATCCAAAGGACCTTCCTTGCAGTAGGGGAATATGCTGAACACGTCTCAATAATTTTCTAATTTGATTGATCACCCAAGCTGTTGTCCTGATGGGACGTGGTGGTAGAATAACATTAAACTTTGGTTTTGTTTGAGTTTATGAAGACTTTTCTAGTGAAATATTATATTTTAGTTTTGAGAGATAAGATATAAATGTGTCTGTGTATTCCTGGTAACTTTGACTAGGGTTTATGATTGCGTTAAGATTTCCCTAGGATCCACTAAGAGACCTGCTTCATTTAACTTCTTTTAATGTAAGTGATGGTTATGAGAAATGGAAAACATTTGCTAGAGGTTAATGATTGGTAGAATCGTGATGGTTGGAAAAGACCTCTATGATTATCTAGTCCAACCACTGATCCATCACCACCGTCTCCCACTAAACCATGTCCCTAAGTACTACATCTGCCCTTTCCTTAAACACCTCCAGGGATGGTTACTGTGCCACTTCCCTGGGCAGCTATTGCCGATGCATCACCACTCTTTCTGAGAAGAAATTCTTTTCTTCCTAATATCCAAACTGAACCTCTCCTGTCCCCTCTCATCCTATTGCTAATTACCTGGGAGAAGAGGCTGACGCTCACCTTGCCACGACCTCCCCTGACCCTCCTCTTCTTGAGACTGAATAATCCCAGTTTCTTCAGCCTCTCCCCATAAGACTTATGCTCCAGACCCTTCACCAGCTTTTCACCCTTGTCTGGACATCCTCCAGGGTCTCAGTGTTCCTATAGGAAGGGGTCCAAAACTGAACATAGCACTCAAGGTGCGGCCTCACCAG